GCAGATTTTTTTATCTATTTTTTTTCTTTTTTTTTAATTTTTAAAGAATTTTTCATATTTTTGATTTTTCACATTTTTTAGGGAAAAACTTATTCAATGTTTTTTAGGGGTTTTTTTGTTTTTAAATTTAAAACATTTTTTGAAAAAATTTATAATTTTTGAAAATGAATCAAGGGGCTACTCAAAGTGTGCAGCTAGCAAGTCGACAGTTGCCCATCCCTTTCGTACAGCATGTATGCCCCAAATGTACATTACCACCAGAGCATGATTGTTTATCAGTGTTTGAGAGCAGACACAACGACTTGATATTGCACAATTTTGAAGCCATATTTCATAACTATTTGTCCATTCAAATTTGGCAGGACTGTTAAAAGCACTCTTCACTGTGTTCTGTCAAAATTACAAGACATATTTACATTTTCACAGGAACTTTAATTGTGTTCCAATCAACTTAAAAAAAGAAGGTTAAGGTATATTTGACTTTATATTGGAATATCCTTGAGCCTTCAAATGCAGCCCAAAGGAACAGCTTCTCACTTGGGATACGGCTCGTATGGACTCCAAAGCGGGTAAAGTAAAAGTCAAACCTTGTCCACTTCCTCAGTATTCAATGCCGGAACGTCCCCATTCTCTAGTCCGTTGGCCTTCGGAGCGCCGTGGCTGTTCCCTACGTCGTCGACATGCAGTGAACCGTTGTCTCCTCCGGTCAGCTGGAGCTCCAAACTGTCAGAGTCGCACGAGTTATTCAGCTCACCGCTGCTCTCGCTCGGCGAAGCGTCTTCTTGCTTCTCATCCACTTGTACGGAACTCTTCACTTCAGACTCTTCTGTCTTCAAACCCTCCTCCTCATCATCCAGATTTGTGTTTTCTTTTACTGACTCGGGCTTCTTCTCAGCATCCTCTTGCACGCAAGGGTCATGGATCTCAATGCGGCTTGAACCCCTCGACTCAGTGGTGCTCTCCGGAGGAGGTGACAGCGGTGAGACTGCGACAGCACTGCTCTCTCTGGACAGACTGCTGTGGCGAGGTTTGTCCGGGGACCTGAAGCTAAATCTCTGGCCACCTTTTGGACTGTAGCTCCTGTGGAACTCGGAAAAACTGCTCTTCCAAGCCTTGGGGGACATTAGGGTTCGTCTCCTCAAGGAGCCATACCTTAAACAAAGACAAAGATTTCGATCAAAATTTGAGCTTGGATTCGCACCCAAATTCTCCACTTGCCATTTGTGTAAACGTCAGTGAGTGATGCTCGAAATTATTTGCATTTTGCACTTTCAATTTGATTAAACTAGTAAATGGAGTGCACCTATAGTATTTGCTGTATTTCTATGATACGTGGGTGTCCAAATTTACAAACATAATTTATTGAACTGGAATATACAGCGGCAGGCAGTACGCTTGTGGCTACCTGCTACTGTTTAGACTATTAAAACATCAAAAAGTTTTACTTTTTAGCTTAAAATGGCTTACTTACTTGAAAAGATCCCGCTCTGCATTATGGACTGAGGTAATTGCGGTTATTGCACCTTTTGGTGTGTTGCTTATTTGTTTTCTTCTATCATATGAATGTTTATGCTTTTTGTCATATACCAATTATGTATTTGTAAATGTTTAGATAGCAACGTTTCAATGAAGACTTTGACCCAAATAAAAAAGAAGAAAAGGGGGAAAAAAGTGTCTAACCTTTGAATTCCCTTGACTGCAAACACTTTGTCTGGATGCTGGGCCTGCAGTTCCTTCACCACGTTGTGCAGATCTAAGTTGAGCTAAAAGAGAAAATGTTTGGTTTGAAAAGAAATATTTTCTCTTTTTGTTGTTGCTGTCATTTGTCAGCACTCATACAGCACACCGTTCTCATTTCCTTGTAGAAGATGTCTCGTAAACTTGATACAGCGGAGAAGACCGTCACGTAACATCCGATGCGGCTGCGATACAAAAAAGTAATTAACATGATGTGCTCGGAGGGGAAAAGGCTGCTATAGGAAGATGTCTTTGAACATAAATCTAAAAAAGACCTTTCATGCAGCATAGGGAGCTCCTCTTTGAGCTCATCATTGATTCTTTCATAGATATGTTTGGCATCGTTCATCACTTCTTCAGCCTACAAAAGAAGGTATGACGTTTTTTAATTTTTTTTCAGAAAAAGTTTGGACAATTTAGTGTTGAGTCGTGAGTATTTCGGACAACCTTGCTGATCTTGATGTCATCTCGTTTCTTCGCCATTTGCAGGGCCTCCAGGTGGTGACGGGATGAGTCGTAGTCCACCAGTTTCCTCCCCCTCTTGGAGACTTTCTCCTAAAAAGTCACATGCAAATATCCATGCACTGGCCACCTCATTAGGCACACACCGACATCATCAAACATGTATCTCATTTCTGCCTTTACAAATATAAAAATGTTGACTTTGGATTCACACTGTCAAAAATATATTGATTTATCAGTACAGTATATATGTACTGTTTGTCATAAGAAACGGACCACAATTACTCATTCGGAAGGAATACCTCTCTGACAATGACATGAAAACTGAACGTGATTGTATTTTTGAAGTCAGAATCTATGATACGGCTCTTGTGTAGGAGCTGATTATATTTGTACAGTTGTTGTGTAGTGTCGTGTGTCTTGCGTGAACCTACTCTGACATCTGGGAACTGACCCACATAGGACTCCATGGTCCGAACGGCTTGGTCCAATAGCTTCACCTCATGGTCATTCCAGAGAAGATCCTCCCCCTGAAAGAGATTCATGATATATAAAATGAGACACAGGAAGTAAAACTCCAAAAATAGGCTGGGATTGCTTTATTTCCTCAGCTCAACCCTGGGAAAAAAACTCAGTCATTTACAGATGAGGGGTAATTTTAAAAACGAACAGTCAGACTCAATACAAAACAATAAAATAAAAGATTGATTGCATCCGTGAAGTAGGCACTGTTCCTCCATGCTGCCCAAAAACTAAATTTTGTTTCAAAACCAACAACAACAACAACATGCTTCAACACTGCAGATGACACAATTTTTCCAAGAGCTCTATTTGTTGGCTCATCATGTATTGAGTGATGTCAGCACACCAGAATATTCGGCTAACGGCAAGATGGAATGAGGCTGCATTGCTTGGCCTGCTGGATAAAATGGCAATGCTACAAAAAAATTAAACTGCACCTTAAAGGTGTGGAGAAGAGTATGGTTGTGTGATTTCAAACCTAACCACGGAGTATCATCTGAACCCTTTCAGGGACAGCGGTTACTACAGTGGAGATCCGATCATGTTATCAGGTTACAGGGTACATGAAAGGGTAAATATATGTTCATGCGAAGCAGTTCTTGTGAGGTTAATGCGAACAGCTCTAGTTTGAACATGGCTAGTGTCAGGTATGACCTCCACTATGGCTCCAATGTCTTCTTGTCCCACCCAGTCGCTTTCGTAAACATCGAACAAAGACTGCGCAAGGCGTCTTGAGGCTTCTCGCATGTCTGGAGGGAGAGCAGAAGTGGCAATGTCAGACAAAAACACACATTATCTAGCATCGTGCTTCAGTAAAACACAAAGGGAATCACCTCTGACTGCTTCTACGTAGTTCCTCAGGTCTTTGTACATTCTGTTGCCATCATACTGCCAACAGACAAGAAGTGAGCATGAATGTCAAGTATTGGACCTCTCGTCATTTGTTTTACATCCAAAATAAATCCAGCAATTCACGCAATGACCATTTATTTATACTATTACCTGTTGGTCATTGAACTGTAGCACATATTGTTCAAATTGATCGTCCCTGGTCTCTTCTGACTTCCCAAGCTTCTGCAGTACCTGCAAGAAAAAAACAAGTAAAAATAGACAACAGGCAATATCTGTCATGTTTAAATGCTACAATTTGAGATCTGTAATTTGTACCTTTTCTTTGCCTCTGGTCAGCTGTCTTTGGACTTTTTTGGCAAAGTCTCCGGTGCTGCCTTTGGGACTTGTGCGGTCTGCCATTGTTACTCTCGTCTGAGTATGATATAAAAATAAAAATAATCATCATCATCATCATCATCATCAGGTGGCACGATGGTCAACTGGTTAGCACGTCCACCTCACAGTGCATGGTTCGATTCCGGCTCCGGCCTTCCTGTGTGGAGTTTGCATGTTCTCCCCGTGCGTGTGTGGGTTTTCTCTGGGTACTCCGGTTTCCTCCCACATTTCAAAAACATACATGGCCTAGGCGTGACTGTGAGCACGAATGGTTGTTTGTCTTTGTGTGCCCTGCGATTGGCTGGCACCCAGTTCAAGGTGTCCCCCGTCTACTGCCCGAAGACAGCTGGGATAGGCTCCAGCACGCCCGCGACCCTCGAGACGAGAAGCGGTTCACATAATGGATTGATGGATCATTATCATCATCATCATAACATTCAGAGTAATATTAATTTCTTTTACTTTTATTACGGTTTTTGTTTGACACTTCATGTAATTTCGAAAGGTCGGCATTGGTTACCACATCTATCTCACAATGAGGAAATACAGGTTCAAATCTCTATTGATTATTCTTTGCGTGGATTTTCTTCAGGTGGCCTGGTTTCTCCCTCACTTTCCCAGAACGCCCCGCCTGACGGCCGAAGTCAGCTGCTTTAGGCTCCAGTTAACCATGACCGGAATAAGTCAACTGACACAGCCGACATTCCTGCGGTCCGCAATCACACTCTGAATGGACTCTTGATTAATGTCACAAAAGCAAAAACAAAATAATCTATCTTCTACTACAGTGGATCACCAAGTATTCAGGATTCAGGACACACACATTTATTTATTTTAAATTCACTTCTTGTGTCTATGTTAAAAAAAAAAAAAAGATTCAATATTTTTATGGAGGTGGAAATGTACATTGGAAATGTATTCACATTTATCGAATAATTTGTGTTTGCTTTTTTTTTCCTCTCTGCAATGCATTTCACTCGGTGTCAGTTGTGCCAATTACGTCAATTATTATTTGTGGGGCTCGAATGACTACGTTACCCACAACCCCTCGCGACAAATAGCGTCCCATCAACAACATGGCGGCTCCGAACTATGGCCGGTAAATTTATGAGTTTTTATTCCACCAACTACGGAAGAGGAGTGGCTTCATGACAACGTCTCCAGCTTCGCAGCTGCTGGCCGATCTGAGTGACTTTATCATGGGGAGCACTGTGGCCAAATGTGCCGTCACCGACCTCGCCATCCAGTGGGCCGGCTGGGCAGTGGCGGCGGCGCTCAAAACCGAAAAGTTCTACGACTTGGCAGGTAAAAACGAAACCTAAACCTTTTCTCACATTCACTCTCTCCCTGCCCGAACTTTCAAGATAAACTGACGCTGCGTTCATTAATGAATTTGCTCTTTTTCATATGATTTGTCTTTGGATTTCCGTAACATTGCAAATGCGTCTGCGTGTTAATCGTATTAAAAAAAAAAAAAAAAAAAAACTGAGAAAGTTGTTGTGAAACAAACGACCTTCTCAGTGGTTTGCGAGATAAAAAGGGCGCATGTGATCAGCATTATGTCACAATCAATCACCATCAAATAAATGAATAAAGACATTATAAATGACTATTTTATTGAGTTGGAAAATTAACAAAGAATCTTGGTGGTTCTATTTTCATATACATCATTTCACCAGCCTTTAAACGTACTAATGAAAGAAGGAAAATGTGAGGTAATTAAAAACAAATATAATATGTTAACTCTTTCGTCCATCAATTGTCACATGGTGGATCAAGAAAGGTACTGTAAAAAAAATGACAGGGTGGCCTCGTTTTCTGAACGACGCGTAATGAACAAGTTTGAATATGGGATCACGCGACACAAGAAGGCATTCTCAGTTAGAACCTACTATTTTTCACTGTATTGTACTGTAAAATTTGGAAACATGTCATAAATGTTATTACTTGAACAGTTGTTACTCTGCCATGCCGAGTTCTCAAATATTGGGTAAGGGAGTTTCCTAAAAAGTGATCAGTGCCAAGATGTCGTGAAATTTTTCTACACCTCAGAGATTTAATTGTACTATATCTGAAAGACACTTGGAACATGTACACCAAGAATGTGCAGTTGACACAGGTGATTGACATCTGTTTTCAGAGGCTATTAATGAACGGTACATTTTAATTGTCGCCCCAAAATTGGTTTTGACATTTCAGAACCGCTGCTTTAGTTCATTGTTACGAGTCAATCACTTGGCTTACCTTTCAATGTGGCCGTCCGATTTCACCTTGACACTTCAGTGTCACCCGTTCCTGTCACTTGTCCCCGCTCTACTGTGCTTCTGGGCGGTGTCACCCTTGAACTTTGGAACCAATTACCTGCCGTTTCCTGGGTAAAAGATTGATGAACACACGCCTTATTCGGCCGCGAGCCAGCCAATGTGTGATTCTGTCTATTGGTCTTTTTCAGGATCTGGCACATTTATACTGCTAGCCCACCTGAGCCGTCTGTGGGGAGGGGCCGCCCATCTTCGTCAGAATGTTCAGACTGGGCTGGTGACGGCGTGGGGGCTCAGGTATGTTCGTTTGGGACGGGTTAGTTTTTCATGGGGTGGGGGTGGGGGGGGGATAATAAAATAAAGCCAATGTGATAAAATTCCTCTGAATGGGCATGCAGGATGGCGGTTTTAATCACAGACACCTCACTCTTACTGAGTGCCTACACAAGGAGAATGAAATTTCAGCCGGGCCGCTGAGGTCAACGGAGAAACCCTAAAGTCGGGTTAATGAGTAATGCCTCGGTTAATGCGACTGGCGGTTAACAAAACTTTTTCCCGCAGGTTGGGCACATTCCTCTTCATGCGGATCTTGAAGGACGGACATGATCGAAGGTTTAACAATGTCCGAGGCAGCCCGGGCACTTTTTTTGTGTACTGGACTATTCAAGGTACTTAACGCAGTTTGGGTGGTCTCTATTAAATAGTTTAAAAAAAAAACATTCTCACAAATATCACCTATAAACTATATATGTACTTAATCAAAAGATCTGAAATTGGGCAGAGAGGATCTCTGTGTATGGACATGAAGGCTGCCATCTTGCTGGTGTGCCAATGCATTCGATGACATTCAAGGTTAACATGTAAACACACAGGAATTGCTGTATTGTTATAACGAGTGGTTAAACAACGAAGCTGGTCTCACATTCTCCCATGTCACCTGCAACCAGAGTTCAGAACGCAGCCACTGAGCTCGTACAAGTGTTTAACTCAAACTTACACGTGTGTTTGACAGTTAAGAATATTTCTCAAAAAAAATGTCAAAGTTAAGAAAAATATATAATACAATAAGCACCACAACCTATAATGTGAAAAACAGACAAAATTACAATATAGGAAAAGGCTAATTGAAATCGTAGCCAACAATATCCCAAAATATTTTTAAAATAAGACAAATTCAGTCACAAGTGGTCTTAAATTTGGGGGTGTTTATCCATATGAAACAGTAAACTTGCATCTTGACATTAGGTTCATTACTCAGAAACGCCAGTTCTAACAACTTACATCCGCAGTTGTGCGTACGTCACATACTGCTTTTTTTCCTCCCTACTACTCCTTTTGTGACCCTTTATTCTCACACGGTCCCTTGACAGCAAGATTACTTTAAAAACAAAATAAAGATCACTTAAACTTCTGCGATAGTGGGGTCAGGAACTGTAAAAATAAATCTTTTTTTTTTCAGCTGTGTGGGTGTTTGTGACCCTGCTGCCCACCCTCATGCTCAACAGTGAAAAGCGCAACACTCCTCTGGGAATGAGGGATTATGTCGGCTGGACCCTTTGGGGCATCGGATTTGCCACAGAAGCCATCGCCGACCAGCAAAAATGGATTTTCAAAGGCGACCCAGATAATGTTGTAAGTAAACCTGTTTAACATAGGCATGACACCGCATCATGTATGCGCTTACTAACATTTTGTGTTCCCTGCCCTTAGGGTAAGTTCATTCAGAGCGGGCTGTGGGGTTACAGCAGACACCCCAACTATTTTGGAGAGATACTGCAGTGGTCGGGTTTATGGCTCTCAGCCTCATCAGTGATGCAAGGTCCTCAGTACATAAGTGTGGCGTCGCCACTTTTTGTCTGGTTTTTGCTGCGCTACGTCAGCGGCATTCCCATTCTGGAAAGGCAGGCCTTGAAAAAGTGGGGGTCAGACCCAGGCTTCCAGGAATACCTCAGGAACACTCCTCTACTGTGGCCATGGCCAAAGTTTTGACATGTTGCTGTATGATGATATAATTCCATGCAAAACAATGTAATAAATGACATCTCTTCTGCAATAGCCTTTGACACTTCTTAATGGGAATAATGTAATTTGCTTGATGATCGAGCTTCTTGAAAGTGTTGTGTGTGCAGTAAATAGGCACGGCATAATAATAAAAACATTGAGAAATTTGCACCAGAAACAATATGCAGTATGTAGTGTGGCTTGAATTCAATGTTTGGTGGCCATCTGACAAACTGCCCATCCAGTACAATACACACAGTTACATCAAGCATAGATGACACGAGAAGCGTACGTTTTTGAAATAGTATATTTTAACTAATTAAGTAAAAGATGACAAACAGTTCTCTAAAAAGTATCCAAAATTCAACTGCAGTAAACAGAAAAACAGGCAGGTGTACCTACCATAATGAAATGCCTAAAAATGCACTCTTCAACTTCTGAGTGACACATGAGTTGAAAAGCTGTCTCAAGAAATGGTTAAATAGAGAGATTCACAAACCAGCTGTGACATTAGGACCACTTGTGCATTATTTAAGAGTTGTAACTGGCTTAACAAATATGTTCTTATTCGACTGTCAGAAAGTTAACACAACTGAGTCTATATTCGTTACTGTTACTTCAGCTAAATGACAGTCAAGATATGAGAAAGAGCTCACCCAAAATGCAAATTCCAATCACAATATTAAATGAAAAACAAATACCTCTGACAGTGTCGATCAAAACTGAATATTAAAATGGGCCGAATGTGTGATGCAGCTCTTGCATATGATATACTATGTAAGTGGTCATAACATGGCAGGTTGGTATAGCTTGCTTTCAATCTTTCAAACATGCACATTTGTCAAACGTGTACAGAACATTGTCATTCAGTCTGATTGGGGGGGGGGGGGGGGGGTAGAGGCAGTTTCGAAAACAGGTAAAACAACGAAAGAACATCTTTTTGTGACGCAAGACATTATAAACAAATGATGCAAGGGGTTTGGGGTGATTATCGTCTGGACTACTTGAGAAGTGGAGATTGAAAGAACCTCCCTTGAGGAAGTGCTGCTGCAGACTTGCTCTTGCTTCCAAATCTTTAAAACAGACATGCAATCATGACACAGTGACAAGAAGGTCAGCTCAAAGGAAACCAGTGACTGACTTTCCAATTCCATTGAAGATATGATGGCAGTGGGGGCGGGGGGCACGCCATAAATTCTTAAAAACAGGGATGGGGGAGATGGCACTTTTTGGCCGACCTCCACACAAAAATTCACGGCAGGCAACCACTATGAATCCAATCAATCTCAGGCTGACAATCAAAGCTTGATTTTCAGTTTGGCTCAAATGACACAATTCAAATGAACAAATTAAATAGCAACCTAAAAAAAAAAATGTAACCAGAGACTCGCAATAAATACGATGACGTAAATATGCTACAAAAATTAGAGGTGTGTCAATTATAAGAATAATTGCAATACACTCTATGCCGAAGTCACGTCACCAAACTTGGAAAATAGGTGAGCGGACTTCCTACGGATGACAAAATAACTAGCATAACAATGAGTTGAGAGTTTTAAGATGAACTTCCTAAAATTGCATTTTCTTTATCGTTGGCGTCTTCGGACAGAACTTAAATACACGCATATAATCTATTTATACAAATATGTATGTAAATTCGAAAATCCCAAATATAATATAGTGACCTTTGGTAGCCAAATCGATTATGTCAAACGTGGAAATAGACAGCCTCATGATGTCATATGGTTTGTTGCGCAGGGTAATGGATCGCGTTTAAAAACCCAATCAAGTAATTTGGAGCAGAGAACAATAGCTAAAAATTAAAATCAGCCGGATCTTACCGAGGTGTCAGCGAGGACTTAAAGCGCTGCGACAGCGAGCTGGAGGACGGCGTTTTATTCAGCTGCTGCTCCGGAGTCGTCAGCGGGCCGAGCAAAGTCACTGGGGCGGACGGGAGCAACAGTTAAGAGTAGGACGTGGGATCACCCGCTCCTTTGAACAGGATGGGGGTCTTCCTGATGAATGCTCACCTCGATCAGGAGTGTAGTAGTTTGAGTTCTGGATGATCAGGTGGTCTGGGTGTGGCTGCTCGTTTTCGGACTTCACGTACTGGGCCCAGTAACTCGCCGGCATGTTCAGCAGACGCTCCACAACCTGAGCAGAGGGGGGTGAGTACTGTACCATGGCCAGGGATTGTGGGCCTCACTTCTCTTGTGGTCATATCTTTGTATTTATCAAGTCACGTGTGATCACACAAGAGCTCTCCCTCGGAGGTCTGTATTCTTGACCGGGGGTGGAAGAGTCTTTTTGTGTGTGGGGAGCTGTGTTGAGATTACCTGAGCACCCCTCGCAAAATACAACCAAAACTGTTAAATGGCTGGATTTTTTGTCTTTATATGGAGGACTCTGACAAAGATGAAAAATCTTCGAAGATTAAAAAAAAAAAAAATCCTACTGTGCGTACCCGGCCTAACCCCCTGCAAATTGTGAGGGTTCACTGTAAATGGTTGTTCTTAACGAAAACTTAATCTCAACGGAAATAGTCTATTGTAAAAACTCGTAGTCCATGTCTAGCTCAAAATTTTCCACACAGAATTCCCATGCAAGTTGAGCTGAGCTGACAATGCAACCACTCCGTACCTTTGGCTGCCGTTTGGTGTCCTGCAGAATGGTCATGGGGTCCGGGCTGGGAACGGCATGACCCACGATTGTGGGACCAAACACCCGCGCAAGGTTACTGATGTCCATCTTTGTATCCGAACTCTCAGCCACTCTGAAATGTTATCAGACAGCGAATTTTGTTGATGAAACACATGGGAAACAAAATCTTATGTCTTGGCAGATGGCACCCTCTAACCTTTGAAGGTGAAGGATCAAGAAGGCCAGAGTGTCTCTATTAGCATGTGGCAGAACACTGACGGTTTGGTACATCAAGGCTATGCTGTTGTCATCATCTGGAGCCTCTATAATGAGAAATTCACCCAAAGCAAGTGTTACTTTAACACAGACGCAAGTATCTCAAGGCGGGTATCATCTGATTTGTGTAATTATGGCATTACTCAAGCTGGCAGATTTAACTGATGAAATGACAATTCATGTGCAATTGTACATTAATTTACGTTAGATGCAACCGAGTCAAGATTTACATTGTGGGGAAAAAAAAAAAACCACAAAAAACAATATGTCTTCTCTAAGATTTGGCTAGCTATTTTACCGGCTGCTTCCATGAATTGACGGTTCAGGTGAAAGGTGAGGAGAGGATCCTTGAGGTTGCGCAGGAAGTCCTTGAGGAGGCCAGTGATGGCGTGAATGTCGTCCACTTTGCTCAGCACAGGAACAGTTTTGCTACGGAGGAACTTCTCCTTCAGCTCCTTCACTGTGCGATCTGCACCGGACAGTCGGTACAGTCCAGCCTAAAAGTGGTCACGGGTTGTGAATATGATGATTCACAACATACATACTTTTAGACAAATAAAGAGAGTAGGGCAATTGGGAGGCGAATTGAAAATGAGGATATGCCGGTAGTATATAAGAGATGCTTTAGCAGATATGTTACATAAGAGCAACGGGCATATGAAGCTTGAATACAGAATATCATGAGCAGAGAAAATGCCCCATACCTCATGCAGGCCTCGTTGCTCAATCTCACCGATGCAGTGGACCACAAGCGGTGGAATCTTTGGTGATATGTCTGGGACATAGTCTGCAAGCACGCCCTGGACACAAACAAAAACATTTCAAATGCGATGTTTCGAAGGATCACAAATCCCCACTGTTAGCGGAAGAAGAAAAGATTCGCTAAATAGTTGCCGATGATATTCGCGGTTTCTGCATCAGTTATTGTGATACAGTTTGACTACAGTTTTTAACTTCTGAAGGCGGGTATTTTTGGAGAATTCTCAAAATCGAACATTTTAACCATCCGCTCTATTGTCAATTACTCAAAACTAGTCCTTGCGACAGGCGGACTCTTGAGCCAGACTGATTTTCATCACCATGTGTCGCCTCTATGTGAACCTTCGACGCATCTCCCAGGAAGTATCCTCAATCTGCTTAAATAATGGAGTCCCCTTCCATAGGACAACTCATTGTCAATCACCCAAACAGATGACAAGAAAAACTCAAAAACAAGGTTTAAACCACGATATTACCCCAACATGAAATTGCACGGAAAGCCAAGCATGACACCCCCATACATTGACTTGGCTCACCTCCCCGATTTTCACTGGTGTATTGCCCATATTTGGGATGCACGGCAGAGGGCATCGGTCCCGACATTCTGGGTGGGAAACTACCCGACAGTCGCAGCACCTCAAGGCAATCTTGCCAAATTTAATCCTCTTCCCACAAGGCACGCAGGACTCTGGCTTGATGACCTGGAAAAGCCAAATGATATAAGATAGGATGAGAAAACCTTTATTCGTTTCACAATGGAGAAACTCCCAATTTACAGCAGCAAAGTTATGAAAGGAAGAAAGAAGAACAAAAAGTATAGGAGCTGCTGTAAAGGGAGCCACTCTCGCGGCGCCAACTTGAAGTCATAACAACATAACAAAATACAACACATAAGACAGGCAGTCATTCAATCTTAACCACTTTTCTGCATACTCTGTCGTTTGAAGCAGCTATCGATGAAAGAGGAGAGAATCAAAGCGTCCTTTCACCAGTGGAACAGAGAAATCATTCTGAAAATGTGCACACGTCTGCTACAAACTAAGTTTGAAAGCAAACAAGAAGCTGTCGCGTCCATTGATGAAAAAAAGATTGGCTCACATCTCCTGTCCCATGTAAATCCGCTTCAATTCCAAGCTGCAACTATGAGTGAGCGGGAGATTTTTTTCACTAGACTAACAGTTTAACTACATTAGAGCTCCAAAGAGATTCTTTAAGTCAATTATGCCGGTGTAACAATCACAAACTAAGACGGGTGAACAATTTCATTGTTCCAAAAGTTTGAACAAAGCAAATACTGTATTCCTACCGTTTTGGAGACAAACTCATGCTGACGCACACCTTTGTGTTTCTGAGGCGTGCTGGCCTCATTTTTTTTCTCC